GTTCAACCCAGATTTGAAGAAGACAGAAACACAACGTACATCGACGTGAACTTATTGCATGAATCGGTATTGGCATTGCAACTTTGAGCGATCGAAATGCTGCTAGATAGGTCCCTCCTTGGCTAAGTTCTTGTTTGTCTCTGTTGGGACCCCACAAGCCCGAGCGATGGCTCGAAAGGAGCTAAGACAGAACCTATTCTCGTTGACGGTCGTAGCTATCATGCAGTATGTCGCGGGGAATACGCGCTCTGTCTAACACCGACCCGGTGCCACATGTGCCCGCCTTCGAACCATGGACAAGCCTCGCCTGCATTGCCCGAGTTGCGAGTCCAATACTAACTAAGATCCCCACGCACCCCACTCGTTAGAACAAATCTTGTACAGGAGCATGACGTTTGGCTGCTCCTCCCTGCCGCCCTGGCAGTTTTGCCGGGGCTGCTCTGTACTCCGGTCGACAAAATTTCATGGGCTACAGGGTCGTAGGGGAAGGTCGGGCAATGTCGGGCAGGCATCACAGGCTTCGGGAGTTCGTGGGATGAAAGGCTTCAGGGTTTGAGTGAGGTTTCTGTGCTACGTCTCACGGACTAAACAAAGCTTTGCAGCTGAGATTTTTTGTACTGAACCTAGTTAGGTTTTCCTGAAGCTTTTCCATGCCCTCTCCCCTAAATCCCTGAACCCATAACGGACTCGGACGCTAACCACTAATCCGCCTACACCCGCAGAGATAACTACCTCTGTCTACCAAGACTTCAGCCCTTAGACGTCTTGACGGCGCCTAATCCCGAAGCCCTAAACCCGCACTTACCCCTCGCAGAAGGAATCCCGAGATGAAGCTGGAACGATACAGAGAGGATGTTTTCTGCCGAGCCGTTGTGGGAGGGATTGCGACACGTTGCAAGTGAGTAGAACACACACACGGTTTGAATCGGTACGTGTGCGGCAGACCTGTCACTGACTAACATTCTCGAGTCCTGCTGTCTCTAGGGGTCTACATGCCAGGAGGAGACCGCGTTTCGCGAAGCCTTCAAAGGTCGAACTAGGTCTTGGGTGCTTTGTTTGTTGTTAGACGGGTTAACCTTCTGAAGGACGCCGCCAAACAGATGAAGTGATACTGTTGTTTACCTGTTCCTGGGCTTTGGACACATCCTCCTTGACAGCAACACGTCGAATGAAACGATTGGACGTGTTAGTTAATTCGACTGACAGTATCGCTGCAGACATTGCCAGGCTTTGTCGAGTGTAAGTGTCAAAACAATCCTTGGAGGCCGGCAGCAGCAGGGTTCAGCGTGGAAGAAGAGAAGCCCAATTGATCTCCCAGATTTTAGGCCAGTACATCCCACAAAAAACAATATCAAATACTGTTCGACTAATAAAATATGACGGCCCGCCAACCCTATAAATCCCTTGCAAAACCACCATGCAAACCCTTTAAGCTGCATATCCGAATTCCTTCATGCCCATGAAACGAAAGCCGTACAACCCTGAAGCCTGAGACCACTAAAACTCTAAGCGGGTCTTAATTGTCAGAATAGGGTTTTGGGGTCCATTATACTATACATATAAGGAACCCCCAAAATAGTATAGGTAACTATTACGGCCCCTATATCAATTGACCCCCTTTGGGAAGTCGAGGTCTTCTGTGCTGCGACTGGCGCCGGGCTCCGACGTCTCTCCCGGCTCGGGCGTTCAGCCTCCGCTCGGGCCTGGTGCTTCGGCTAATATAGGGGCCTGAATAAGTAGAAGAGGGTTTCGGGACCCATTATACTATAATCATAATAAGGAACCCTCAAAGTGGGATTTTGTAAGGTCTGGGTTTGGGGTCTAAGTTAAGGGTTGAGTCCACGGCGCTGTAGAACCCCAGACTCTGTAAGCCCTACAGCCTTAAACCTTCAACCGAGGCAGCCTTCAGACACCAAGCCAGAAGCCTTGCCGACCCGGCACGAGCGCGAGAGTCGCAACTCACCTCAAAGCCAAACGCTAACTAAATGTTCTAGTAGTCCATAGAGCACGCCCGTATATCGCTAGCGCTTTGCGGCGCCTTACAACCTCGGAGTTTTTTTATTGGGAAATGCCAACGCCTGTTTTTAACCACCATTTGAAGACCTTGCAAACAAGCACTAGTGATTATAGTAACCCTTGCAGGAACCTTTATGCAGAAATCCTGATGCTTAGCTTTACAGTAACCCTTGGAGGGGCCTTTTTAAGGGAAGCCTTAGAGGAACAGAGCCCTCACACCGGGGGGGTGGAGGCGGAGCTCGTGAGCAGCCCCAAAGGAGAGGACTTCTGCGCAGACTTGGGGCGCTTGAGGCTGGGGTTTCGGGTTCCGGGCTCGGAGTATTGAACAGTGATGTCGTAGGGTTTAGGGCCCAGGGTTTCTAGAGTCTGATTCAGAGTTTCTGCAGTCCAGCCTGCTCTGCGGGTTCTGCTGCACCGACCACAGCAGAGATGTAGTATATGAGCCGAAACTGAGACCGCCAGCCATGCGTGCACATGTGGAAAGCTTTGAAGCAGAATTTGATAACTCTTTTCTCCCGCCGTGTGCCGCGCTGCAGTGAATCCTGCCCTAGCCCCCCGGAACTGGCTTCAGATTCGGGCACCGTGCATGAAGGTGGAAAGAGTGGAGCGAAAAACGTCAGGATATTGCTTCAAGTACCAGCGTGGCAGGACTAGCTGGAAGCAATTCCGAAACCGTTGAAAGAGCATTGTGGCCAGACTGGTGGAAACAGATTTTCGAGCTGAAGCCAGAAACAACACCGCAACAAGAAGCCCTTCAGGCTGGGTTTCGTCCTCTCTCTCATCTTGTTGCCGCTGGGCCCCAAAGTTTTGCGGGCCGGGGCTGGTCTTTAGGTCCCAGGTGTCCTGGTGCTTCTGACTTCTGCATTTTGGAGCTGTTGGCGAGCGAGAGAGCGAGAGAGAGAGAGAGAGAGAGAGAGCGAGAGAGCGCGAGGGAGAGGGAAAGGGAGAGGGGGAGAGGGAGAGAGACACCGAATCCGGGGACTTGGTCCTAGCATGTTGCACTTAGCTTAGCGAGTTCTGCTCCTTGGGGGATTCGGGATTGGGTTTCTCGAGCTTCCGACAAAGCCTAACAATCGGGTGGGCCAATGCCCAGGAGAAAGGCACAGAGAGGCTCCGAAGTCCCCACAGAGAATGAAACTTCGGCTCCTTGGGTACACCCTCCCGAACCAGACGATCCGAATGCCCGATAGTTGAAACTGACGGAACCCAGCGGCGAGCTCCAGCATCCAGAATAGTGCTCCAGTGCACCAACATAGAGTGCACACCACCCCTGAACTCTTGACCCCCTGAGCCCACACCAGCCTGCTTAGACGTACAGATGTTCCCTGTTTTGGGGGTGACTGCGCCGTGTTCCGATACGTACCTCCAAGAGACCCTCAGCCTCAACCCAAAACCTTCGGAGCGGGCCTCACATTTCCATAGATGGCCAACTTCCCGAGCTGAAAGCCAATTACCTGCGTCCACCACAGCGAGAGAGAGAGAGAGAGAGAGAGCTCAAGCCGCGAGTGCTCAAGGCCCACCCCGAGTCCAGGGCCTCAACCCGGCGAGAGCGCGAGAGAGGGGAGGGCGAGACAACCTGCTAGGGACCGTCCTGTCCCGGCAGACGGTGTGCCGCCATACGCCTTGAACTACCTGTCTGCCACACTTTGCGACTTCATCGAGGGGGTTCGGCAGGGGGACATCTCCAAGAACGGACCTGTACGGCAACCGCAGCGGGCGTGCGGGGGACAGTGCCTACCGCTACCTGGACGCATTCGGCGGCCTACACACCTTGAACGACGGGGGTGCGATCAGCCGCAAGAACGCGGGGAGATACAGTACCAGGCGGGGGGGGACGTGACACTACAACGACGCAGCCGAGAATTATATCCATGACTACACAAGCAGGAGGGACGACTCCCATGACGGGGGTGCAAGGGGCAGCCACGGCCCCGGAAATGGATGAAGCCCAGGCGGGAAGCGCAGGCGCCTCGCCGCAGAAGCGGGTGAAGCACGGGGGGGACCAAGCCCTCACCCTCGACATGCTCAAGGAGGTGCTGGCCCAGGAACGCAACATCGACAGACAGCACCTTACCCAAAGCCTCCAAATGGTGCAGGGGGACATGCAGCAGCTCAGGGGGCGCATGGATGCAGTGGAGGGGGGGGTGACCCAGCAGATGCAGAGCACCCTCGCGATGCTGACGAAGATCACCAACAACTACGACGACCAGGCCAAGACACTTGCAGAGTTGCAGGAAGGGCAAAAAACTGTGGAAGCCAGGCTCCTCGACTTGGAGAAGAAGCCAATGGGGGGATCGGCCCCACAAAGCACCGTGGACACGACAGCAGGGGGAGAAGGGGGCCGCAAGCCAGCCATCATCATGGGTGGATGGCATCCTGACCAAATGGCTGATGATACGCTGAAGGCAGCCAAGGAGATCCTCCAACGGCTAGAGGTGCCGCTGGATACGCAGGACATGTTCGTTCCGGGGGTCAGGAGGGGCTACGCCATAGTGCCCATACCGCCCAGGCCCTTCGAGGCAGAGGAGTGCCGCAGGGTCAGGATTCAGGCAGCCTTGCAGAGGGTGAGAAACGCCAACATGTCTTTGGGGCAGAACGAACAGGGGGGCCTGCGGAAGCTTTGGATCGCAATTTCCCAAAGTCCAGAGAGGCGCCGTAGAGCCAAGCTGGCCGGAAAAGTCAAGAGGACCATCCTGGAAATGCAGGGGGACCAGAAGGCCCTGGATGTGGAGTTTGCCACGGGGACCGTCTGGATGCACGGCTACAAGATCTGCAGCGCCACCGCAGAGAGGCCCAAAGACGCGGAACACGCGGGGGCGGGATGGATTGACATCGCCATGCTCGCGAAGGCCATGAAGAAAAGCAAGGAGGACGTGGAAGCAGCGTGGGGGCCGCGCAAAGCGGAGCTCCAATGATGGGGGCCGCAAGCACAAGCTGAACGGTTTCACCGAACGAGCGGGGATCCGAAGGAAGCCTCGCCACTGATGAGGGTGGCCACATGGAACGTTGGGGGGCTCACGGCGCAAAATGCGCTGGACCTTCCCAAGCTTTTCGTGGGGCACAGTCGCTTGGATGCAGTGCACGTTTTGGTGCTGCAGGAAATCATATGCGAAGCAGGAATTCACTTCCACGAGCAGAATGGTTGGGTGTTGGTGCATGGCAAGAACGAGGGGGACTGGAGAGGAACGGGGGTTGCATACAAGTCAGCGGAGCATGGGCACACGAACACCAAGTTACTGCCAGCGGGCTTGGCCACGACATTGGCCGCCAAAGGGGGGAAGAGAGGGATAAGATTCCTCGCCGGGCACATACCGCATCACTCCACCATCGCGCAAGCAGAAGCTATCATGAGTGCATGGGAGCATACCATGCAGAAGGCGAGGCTGATGCTGGGGTTCGATGCGAACGAAACGTTCACGGACGAGGACGGGGAGGGGCCGAGAGGGCACACGGGTAGAGGAGAAGTGATCCTGCAGGCAGTAGCAACGTGCGGGGGGAGGGTGGGGCCACAACAAATTGACACCCCCACTTACCATCCCTACAACACAGCAATGCAGTCCCGCAGGATTGACTACCTGGTCACAAGAGGGGTGCAGGTGCAAGCGGGGGGGGTTGCGGAGGGGAGCAGGCACATCGCAAAGTCAGACCACGACGCGGTTTGGCAGGACATCCACACTCACCCCGTGCCGAAGCCAAAGAAGCCCACATGGGGGGCGAGACGTTTTACAGAAAACAGCAAACCCACGGAAACCGCCAAAGCACCACTGCCACAAACAGACACCCACACAGCCATCGGGGGGATCGCACGCAGGTTGACGCAGCCAGGGCGCCACACCAGCAATTTCAGGGAGAGTACGGCACTCAAGCAAGCCAGGCGAACAGCGCACCAGGCCCCCCCGCACGAAGCAAGACAAGCATGGAAGGCAGTCAGCAGGATGCGCAAGCAGGAGATGAGAGTGTGGCACGATGGGATGGTGCGAGAGGCCAGCAAACTTGACTGGCAGGCGTACCGCACCTTGGGGCACCACCAGCGGAGGCAAGGATGGCAGCACCACTTGGTGGACCAACAGGGGTGGCAATCGCAGCTGCGCGAACACTTTGGGGGGATCTTTGCAAAGGCTCCGCCTCAGCGCACCGCGCGGCGCCTGGGGGCCACCAGGGAAGCGCTCACCCAACTATGCAAACGGACACCTTGGAGGCCCTTCAACGACATTGACCTCAGGATGGCGACGCTCAAGTGGAAGCGGGGGAAAGCAACAGGGCCAGACGCCATTTCGCACGAGGTCCTGCTCCTCCTCCTTCAGGAGCCGACCTGGGCAGGACGCATGTTGCACATGATGAACGATATGCTATACAAGGGGAGCATCCCCCAGCCCATCCAACAGGGGGTTACAGTCTTGCTCCCCAAGACCACCGAGGACCCCAAGCAGTGGGGGGACACCAGGCCGATGACCTCGAGGGGGCCCTGAACGCCGCACAACCGCTCCTTGGCCCTGCAAGGGGACCACCGCCCCCCCAGTCTGGGGGCTCCTTTATGGATGATACCTACCTGTGGTCGCACGATAGGGGGCACCTACAGTACGCGCTCGCAGAGCTGGAACGCAGGCTGGGGGGACATGGGCTCGCCATTAATCCCAGCAAAACGGCCATCATTTACAGCGAAAAAGCAGGGGGAGGCGAGTTCCTGATCGGGGGGGCACAGGTGGGGTGCATGCCGTTTGGCACGGTGATCACGGCGTTGGGATCCCCCATCACATTCGGGGAGGGGGTGGCAGCCATTGTAACCGCGATGAACCATCGCGCTAGGCGGGCGTTCCAGAAGAACAGCAAGCTCTTGTGTGCCCCGACTCCCTTGAAGGCACGCATACACCTTCACCAAGCGCTGGTCAGGGGGGCGGCGTTGTGGGGGGGGCAATCATGGCCAGTGACAGAAGCCATCCTTCGCGCCATCAACTCCACACAGCTGCAGCAGATCAGACGGATGATGCACCCAGCAAGAAGACCGGGGGAAGAATGGGGGGAGTGGAACGTGCGCACGCTCAGGGGGGCACGAGTGGCACTGCAACAATCCAAGGTTGTCCGCTGGAGCACATTCCAGCTGGGACACACGTGGGACCTGTATGGACACATGGCCAGAGCCAAACATGGGGGCACCGCAATGCTGCAGTGGAAGAACCTCCAGTGGTGGGAAGCGGAGAAGGCCAAACCCAGGCGCATCAAGGAACAGCACGCACGCAGGTACAACTCGCAGGTTGACACGGAGAGGCAGCTGGTCAAGATAGCGACAAACAACTGGATGCAAGTGGCCCAAAGCCCGGTGGTGTGGCACAACCTGCAGGAAGCATTTATCAAGCAGTACGACCCTCCTTGGGCCACAGGCAAACAGGGGAGCCTGGGCAACCTCACCCCTAACAGGACTACAGGCAATCGGGGGGGCAGCAGGGCGAACGAGGCGATCTGCTGACAACCACCTGCCACCGCAAGCAAGAAAGCAGAGAGCTGACAGCCACACAGCCCATAACCAAGCCCAGACCCAGAGGGGGAGAGCAGAGAGTTGCATGCCAGTCTGCTTTGCGTTGTCCAGTGCAATAGGGAACAGCGCTGTCACCATGTACACGCTTCCGTCAGCGCAAGTGAGTGCTCAAACGGTACGCACCGGGACACGAGCGATCCTGGAGCACCATGCATAAAGGGTTCGCGACAGCGGCCCTAGCACTGGCCCTCTCCTGGCATGCAGTAGCTTCTGTGAGTAAGACCAGGGATTCCACCCCACCAAGGCCCTCCATACCAGCGGGACAACCAAGAACAGGGGCAGGACCCCTGCCAGCTGCAACGACAGCGGGGGGGCAAACAGCGGCACAAGGAGGAGGAACCCCAACAGGGGCGGCGGCGCTACCACAACACGCCTGGCAGCCTGTGGGGGCAACACCGACAGTGCAGCAGCACGAGGAGACAACACCGTCGACGCCGCACCAGCCGCACGCCCAGCCACAGCAGGGACACCATGCACCAGCAGCAGACGCACCGCATCAGGATGCAGATGAGGGGGAGCCGCGCATACCAACCCAGCTGCAGCCAACACAAGAGCCACAGCAGCAGCCAGCCGGCTGCACAACGGACGACCACAGGCAGTCTGGCCCGCTACCCCAGCAGGGGAACACACCGCCACACCAAGAGAGACGATACAGCCGCTCGGAGCAGGGGGAGACTGGGGGATTCAGGGAGGCAACACCTCCCAGACGACCCAAGGACACCTACGGCTACTACGCACCAGTGTACGACCCCGACACGGACCCTTGGCACCCAGAAGGACAACAAGAAGGGCTGGTCGCCCAGGAGGCCCAGCCAGCTGAGGATGCCGCCACGCCGAACCACGCGCAGCAGGCCCAACAGCATACATACATGGTCCCGCCGGGCACCAACCATTGGGGGTACACCCTCACCTACTACCCACCGTCAAGAGCAGCAGCAGCCCACCCTGAGCCCATGGTGCCGAGCCAACACACGACAGGGGGAGTTTTCCGGAAAGGAGAAGAACAGCAGCTGCAGGTCGCGCCCGGCAGCAGAAGCGCAGCACAAAGCACCCCGTGCGGGGAAACCACGCCACCACAGGCAGCAGCGGCAGCGGGAGCTGCAGAGGAGCCACCAAGGCGAGCCACACTACACAGCAGAAGCACGGCACACAGCACCCCGGGCGGGGGAACAACACCGCCACAACCAGCAGCGGCAGCAGGAGCTGCAGACCAACAGCTGGAGGAGACGACAGCGGCAGCAACAACGGGGGAACAAACGGCAACCGCCCTCGCCCCAACAAACCGCAACAGGTGGGGACGCACACAACTGCAGGAAGGGCACCCAGCGTGCGAGCAGCCGCCCTCCCGCCTGCAGTCTCAAGGCCGAGACACCCCGCAGCAAGAGCAGCCACAAACGCAACAGCACCACGGCACCACGCGCCAGGGCCACCAAGGAGCAGTGCCAACGCTTCACATCACGTCACAGCCGCAACCGCAACCGTCAGAGCACTCAGCCAGCAGCTCCAGCACAGCCCAGTACCAGCAGCCGCAGCAGGGCGAGGTCCCACCGCTAGAGGAGCAACAGGGGCAAGGGGAAACGGGACCCAGAAAGCCTTACCATGAAGGGGGGGGCGACCAGCGCATGCGGGGGAAACGGTACAAAGCCGCAGTGCAAATGGCGTACCGGCAAAGGGGGTGGCAAAAAGCCGACGATGAACAGTGGAGGGACCTGGGGCCAGCAGTAGGCCTCCATGAAGATGATGACGAGGAAGAATGGGCCAGGGTGCTACGCAGGGGGCCAAGAAGGCCGAGGTCCAGGGGAGCAGGGGGACAAGCACACGCGCAGCGGCAACCACAAGCACCCCCCCGTGGCCCAGACGACTGGACAGATCTGCTCAACAAGCACCTCCTGCCACGAGACTACGCTGGCACACCAGCCCACACCAACACAGCGACAGCGCATCCAGAGCAAGACCCCCGCGAACACAGACAAGGCGGGGGACCAGCCACACAGACGGCAGGAGGAGCACCCAGCGACCCTAGAAGGCGAAGAGCAGGCGGGGGGTCCAGCACAACCGCAGCAGCAGCACCCGAAGACACCGGCCACCTTAACATGGAGGGCACCATCAACACGATGTTGCTGAGCATGGGCACGGGGCCCAGGCCCCTGACCGCCCCACCAGAGATACCGATAGCCTCAGGCGTGCACCTCCACATGCGAGCAGGACCGCACGGCATATGGGCTGGAGTGACCATGCCAGAGGGGGCTCACCACCACCCCATGTACCAGCAACGAGTCCGAGCTTATACCAGAGCAAGACAGCAGTTACGAGAGGAGGGGGAGCCGCCTTCGGCCTACATAGGCTACAACACAGCCTTCGCTCTCCTACCGTGGGGGACCATCACGGAAGGATCCCCAGAAAAGTGGTTGATGATCATCACGGCTCTGGGCAGGCAAGTCGACGAGGACGCGGCACCACTGCAAGCTGGGGACATGTACCTGCTGGAGTGGAACCCGCGCACAGGCAGATGGCACCCGGGGAGGCTACCGCGCAAGGTGGGGATCCAGTACTACTTTGACTGGAGCAGGCAGATGGGGACCAACCCCATACGAAGCCCACCGCCGACCACGCAGACGTACCCCCTCGGACAGTGGGAACAGCTGGCACTTAGCCTCATCCCTCCTCCGCCCTGCACGCACGAGGGGGGACCAGTGCCGAGAGGGCCCGCAGGAGCACCAGCGCCATACCATGCCCAAGGGGGGCCGAACCCAGCACCACAGCCAGGGAGCCCAGCGCCAGGACCGACATCACAGCGGGGCTCAGCAGAAGGACAGGCAACACCCAGGCAGAGACAGCAAGCCATGACGCAACTAGACAGTAGCCAAGTAGAGCCAGAAGATGTGAGCCATGGAGCCGTGCCGGGCAGCTCCACCGACGAAAGGCCAATGATGAGGGGGGAAGCCGTTCCGCAAGAACAAGCTCGAATGAGGCGATGGTTAAGGGAACTGGTGGCACTGACGTACCAGTTGGGGCTCCCGACAGCCATGGCCGACGCGGTGGAGCAAACCCTGGCAATAGTGACTTCGTCGGGGGCCGGCGGGGGACTCACGCTGAGAAGCAACGCTGTACGGGGCACAAAGCGCCAGCGCCCCAACAACCCACTGCGGGAAGCGGCACGAGCCATTGGGGACATGTGCGAAGAGGACGGGCAAGATGCGCCCAACCAACGCCAGATCTACAATGACCTGAAGACGATTCGGGACTACCTGCACGTGGGGGAACAAAAGTACAGGCAGGCCTCGGAGCAACAAGGGGGCCAGCAGGTGCTTCTTGGTGCAGGGGGGCTAGCGCAGGCCAGCAATGCGGTGCATGCAGCGATGGCCGCCACCACAGAAGGGAACCTGGACTGGCTGGTGGAGGGCTGGGGGCAAGCAGTCGTAGCCGTGCTTGAAGACGCCACGCTCCTCCTCGACGACCTGGTCCAGGCGGGCTTTGCGCACTCAGCGGACGTGCTTGCACTACAGGAGGGAGCAGAAGAAGCGCCGACGAGACCCACGGGGGGACTACACAGACTGGAAGCAGTGCTGGACGACGTACGGAACAGCATGGGGTTCATCACCGAGGGCTACGCGGAGGTTAGGGGGCTGTTGTCGCTCTTTGTCAGTTGGCAACACTCGAGAGGGGGACAACCTGTGCATGTGGACACCCAGACTACAGAAGAAGGCGACGGGGGTCCACCACAGTCCCTCTTTGGAGGGGGGCCGTCGCTACAGCCACAACAAGAAGAAGCAGCATGGAGGCCACAGTTGGGGGCCCCGCAATGGTCTGGCAGCATTCCCAGTTCGGGGGATGAACACAGTGGGGGGCCGCAACCTCCGGAGGAAGCAGAACCAACCGACGCAGACCTGATACAGGCCATGGAGGAGTTCGAAAGGGAGCAAGAAGAGGCCCTGGCAGCAGAGGCACAGCGAGACGCTAGCCCGTGGGGAACGAGCCCAACTGAGGGGGCCACCAGTGAGCGAGAGCACCGTCGCAGGCGAATGCACGCAGCACAGGAGGGGGACATGTAGTGCACTTGGTGGTAAGGGTGGCAGTGCTTCTTGTACTTTTTAGGGGGAAATGTACCAACATGTCCCGTACAGTGCAGCGTGCTGCAGTAGGAGACGACGAGGCTGACAGTGGACGCAGTGGGGGAACTAGGTCTTCTTGTTGTAGTAAGGGGTACTTGTTGCGCAGTGGTGCAGTTTGGAGTGCGGCCGGAGCCTCAGAGTGTTTTTGCAGTTTCACAAAGCAGGCCAACAGCAACGAGAGCATGGGGGGCCGTAGATGTTGAGAGTCGCGAGTGTGTACGTTGGTGCAATTGCTGTGAGTGGGGAGCCGCCCAGCTCCATGGAGAGTTGCACAAGCAGCAATACGCTGCGTGTTGGCGTACAGAGCTGGCAACAGGCTGCGATGAGGCCGGGGGTTCATATAGGTGTAGGGGGGTCCACGGGTCACAAGCAAGGCCTCATCGGGTAGTCAAGTCTTACACGGACGAACAGCAACCAGGGCGCGTTCGCGCGCGAGGAGAGCGCCCTTGCTCTCCTTTGGCTGTGCAGAAGAAGAGATCCCCCATGCCCTGTAGAAGAAGAAGGCACAAGAACGCAACAAAAGAGCATCAGAAAGAGCTCATGGAAACAACGGCACGCAGAAAGAACGAAAGAGAGACATAAGAAAGAATTATCGACATATTGCAATACTGACATGAAGAAGGAGAGAAAGGGAGCAACACTAGAAACCAGTTTTCAACAGAACCCCAATCGTGAGCGCCGAATCCTAAAAGACAAACCAGGCACGTCACGCAGGGCTCCAAGTGGCGAGAGATCGAAGTTGTCGAGACTACGTATGTGCTGTTCAAGGCGGTCGTTCATGCTCTTCATAAGTTTCGGGTCATGTACGGGTCGGTAGTAGCATGTAATTAGTTTTAGGGCTTAGGGTCCAGGGCCTCCGGCTTTCTGCGACCCCCAGGGTCGGTTCAGGGTTTAAGGCTTAAGCATTTTTCTTTCCGGCATGTGTCCCAGCTCCTAGTTCGAAACCGTGTAAGGCGATCCCCGCATGTAACTTTATCCCAAGCCTGCAGAGAACCCCTCCCTCCATGCCCGTACTTGTCGTACTTGGTCTAGAATCAAGTTCAGGGGATTCAGGGATTATCGCGAACCTCCAGGTGTTCTGCTACCGGGTCAGCTGGAACAGATGCCTCAGCACAATATTCTGTCTATGTGCCAGGAGCAGTCATTGAGGACAACGCACCGGGGAGCCTTGTTCCAGAATTTTGTATTCAGAACTGGGATCCAATATTCTGTGGAAATCTTGTAATACGCTGGCTCAGAGGTGTGAAAGAAGAGCGAAACTTTTACCAGATCAACTGTGGATGCTGAACTTCTTCGAACCACAGCGTCCAACGGACATTTTTCGCAAAGCAGCACGCCCTTACCTTAGGCCTTGATACCTGGACCCTGTCGTCCCTGTTTTGCCAGAAACAACAGAAATCCGCACAGAACCAAGCGCCCAAACCGTCAAGTCGTGTAAGAAAGCCCTTCGAGCCTTCGAACAGTGGCTCAGGCCATCCGCCCCCTGGCATTGGTCCAGGACGCGTTTATCCAGTGCCTCGGCTTATTGTTAATTCATCCCTGACCACACACAGTGACTGGCACACGTAGACAGACAGACACACACACACAATAACATGCACATTATGTGGCGTATGTACTAGGCAGGCGATATCTGATTTATGAACAGGTGCATGCACATGCGTATGTACGTATGTATGTATGTATGTAAGTATGTATGTATGCACTGTATGGATGGATGGATGGATGGATGGATGGATGGATGGACGTATGGATGTATGGATGTATGGATGTATGCATGTATGTATGTATGTATGTATGTATGTATGTATGTATGTATGTGTGTGTGTATGTATGTATGTAATTAATGTAATGTATTAATGTAATGTATGTATGTATGTAGGTAGGTATGTATGGTATGTATGTATGTATGTATGTATGTATGTATGTATGTGTATGTATGTAGGTATGTATGGTATGTATGTATGTATGTATGTATGTATGTATGTATGTGTATGTATGTAGGTATGTATGGTATGTATGTATGTATGTATGTATGTATGTATGTATGTATGCATGGCATGGCAT